TCTCTCTCTCTCTCTCTCTATATATATATATATATATATTTGAATTTTTCAGTTAAGAAATCTTGGAAAGTTTCCAAAGTGGTTTGCGCGTTTAATTAGAGTAAATGGAGTAATAAATAACGTGATTATGAACAAAGAAAAAGAATGTTGGTTATCTGTAATACAAGGTAAACCTTTTTTTTTTAAATTAATAATATTTGATTTGATGATAATTATTTTTACAGTATTATTAATCATCTTGTGACTGTGATCTTGTGTTTGAATAGCTGCAAAGCCACCAGGATTGACTACAAAATGGTGAGCCACTAAGTTTGGGGAAAAAGACTTTTTTTTGGTTATATAAATAGGAAAAATGTTACGGTCATGTTACGAAATCATTTCGTCGAGGTTTGTAACCGTATTACGGTTACAACGGAATAAGCTCCGTAATGAGATCTCCCTGTAAATAGAGTGAGAACTGAGAAGCCACACAATGATATAAGCAGTGGGAACTAGATACATGTGTGCAAAAAAATAATAATAAGGCTAAAACATGGGCATTGAAAAAACAATATAATACAATCATGAAATAATCCCTAGAGTTTGACTATTTTAAATTTAACCTACAGCAACTTAGAATAGCTAAGGCTTGGCAGACATAGTTTTTCGACAAATATGTATACTTTAAAATTAAAATGTCATACTAAAAAAGAAACTACATATACAAGAATATGACATTTTATAACATAAAATGCATTTTTAATATAAAGGTATGACATATCGACTCATCTAATAGTTAGGTCGCTTCACCAAAAAAAAAAAAAAAACAGAAAGTATTCAACAAAACTAAAATCCAAGAAGTGTGCACACCTCAAATTAAATGCATCTCTAAGAAAAGTATCAACAACTGAAACATTTAAGAAAATGCAATTTCAGAAGGCCAAAAAAATCAACTAAAAACATGACTAAACCTTCAAATTTTTTTTGCAAAACAAGAATGAATCTTTTTTTTTCCTCACTCCATCTGCATTTACCTGCTTACTTACTGAACAACAAAAACAAACGGATATTTATCACATGATTTTAACGACATTCTTTAGATATATTATTAGCAAAACAGATCCAGCAGTCAGAATATATGTTTTTCTAACAGAATTCAAAGAGCTACTGTATTCAAACATCCGTGGCCAGTCCAGAAAAATCATCATCTCCATCAGAAATTTTCTCAGGAAAAGCTTCTCTCGGAGGACCACCCTCGATTGGAATCCCACGCTCGTTGTGAGTGGATGGAGCCTTGTCATCAAACATGTGTGGGACCCGGATAGCATTGAAAAACTCGTTCTTCATGTCTTCAGCCGCTCGGAGAAAATGGTCAATGCCACCAAATAAACTACGTTCAATGGATTCAATATCACTACGCAAACCAGGAAAGTTAAAGGGTTCGCGTTCAGCCGACCCCAACGAAAATGCACCTTTAACCATTTGGTCAGTGACATCTTCCTCGGTGTATTCTTTGTTAGACTGTACTATCTCTGTGGGCCTGAGTGAAAAAGAAATACAGAACATGATGTGGATGAATTAAGTTGATCATAGTTGAAGATATATATGGTGCGACAAGCTAAACAAACAAACAAACAAAAAAAATGAAAAAAATGCTTGCTATGACTTGAACCAGGCAATAGATTTTCGAAACATAAGCTCATCATTCATTTGATGTGTAGCATCATATTTCAAGTACAATTAGAATTGTTACTCCACCAGCAGATGATAAACAAAGTCCTAAACGACAAAAATGAAGTACAAGTTTATCTGATATATTTTGGAATAATTTCCACAATAACACTGCAAATCTTTTCATGTCGATAAAATTAACTGAGCTAAGCTCATTTTCAATGACTAGAGTCATTCAAGTTCCTGCTTAAATACAAGATTACACGTTGTCTGATGTGTTAAATAAATATATGCTTCCACAAGAATCATAAAATTGACCTATAATACAAGAGATATGATATCACAAAACTCACATTTTGTCATAATAAATTTCCTTTCAGTTAGCACAGAGCTGTAAGAGATATGATATCACCAAACTCACATTTTTTCATAATAATTTTCCTGTTCAGTTAGCACAGAGCTGTAAGAGAACCATTATTCAAGTAGCATTTTCCGCAATGGGTTATGCTAAAATGCTACAAGAACATATAGGTTGACATACACTTTCACTTACTGAAAACATGGCACGATCTCATTATTTTGCACATCGTACCATCTTTAAAATCAACAACTACAAAATTTATGCCAAACATTTTGTATACAAGAAAAATTTCCGCAACTTAACAATAATGTTCCCAATGAATATAAATAAATGCATAACTAAAGAACAAGCAGTATCCCCTCCCTCAACCGGCTGCTGTTACAACAAGCAAAATCACCTGTGTGGTGTTTTATTCGGCAAGAACACAGCTACAGATGGTTGCTCGACACAAAACAAGGAGTATCATGCCTTAGAAACTCAGACTCTGCATACAAAGCATTCATCTACCTTGGACAATGAACAAGGAGAAGTATCCAACCATGACAATAAGTAACTGACACCTATACTATGCACCAAAATCATCAGAACATAAGCAGTGCCCAGTAATTCAAAACCATGAAACTGCAAGTGTGCAACTATTCTTTTTTTTTTTTGGTACAGGGACCTTCCGGTTCCTGGATCCACAGGGGAACCGACTAATCCAGAATCGAGCTGGGTAGGACCACAAGGGCAGCAAAACTCTCCCTCAAGAGTTTTAACACTGCTGCACATTCACAGGGTTCGAACACGAGACCACTGGTTAAGCTGAAAGAGTCTCAAGCCATCTCATTCAAGCGCTCTTGGGTCTGCAACTATTCTTTGACTAGAACAATATACACATACATTTTCCCAACAAGGAACCACCATTTTTTTTCAAATCAGAGCTTCAATAAGCACAAACGACATCTCGAAGTCAATCTAAAATTTCAAGCGACAGCCATACGTTCGCCGTTTATCAAAGTATTAGATGAAATAAGAATTCAGTACCTTCCAACGCAGTCTTTGAAGAGCTCCTCAGTTTTCTCGCACTTGCGGATGAATTTCCCAGGCTCCACTTCCTCCGTTCGGCACTGGGATCGCACGACCTTCCGGGTGGAGAATCGGCCGCCGTCGCCGCTAGGGTTCGAAGAATGGCCGAACTCAGCTCCGGAGGTATCATCATCGTCGTTCTTCCAGACCCACCCCATAGTTTGTTGATAATTTTGCCAATTTTGTTAAGAATTCGGAAGAAATACTGCCCTTTCCCTTTAATTTATGCTTCCAAGTTTTCTTGCGGATCACATATATATATTTTGAAGTTAGCCAACTTTTCTTTGTTTTTTTCCCCTTGGACAAGAAATAATATTGAAATCTAGTGGGTAAAATTTTGGCTAAAGTTTAAGAATTTTAAATAATATAATGTTAGGAAAATGCTACGGTCTTGTTACGAAATCGTTTCGTCTGGGGTTTTATTCAAAGATACACATGTAGTTAGTATAAAATAAATAATCTAGCGGTTAAAACCTCCAACAAAATCATTCCGTAACGAGACCGTAGCATGTCCTTTAATCATAAATATTCAACTTCAATAACTAAGATACAAATTCACTTCATTTTATACATAAGTGATTGTCAATTGTTCACTGTATATATGAGTCCACAACAACATTATAATGTGTTGATGGGATTAAAACTTTGATATGTCTTGTTAACTCATTGTGTTTTATCTTCAACGACTTCAACGAGTACCGAATCGAAAGATTCGTTCCCCGGGTCGATCTCACGAGGAAGGCGGTTCGGAATTTAGAAATGATATTGATAACACATAAAAACAAAAGAAATCCTAAACACACTAATCAAATAGGGGGAATCAATTACCAACTAAGAAATAAATAACAATGCAAAAATGTAAATCTACCTAAGAATATGAATGAAACGAAGATGGAGAAGCTAGGGAATCGGGGATAATTAATTCAAGTTCTAGCAAAGTCGGGCAATTCATTGTTCGGTTCGAGATTGACACTCTCGCTTATACATCTAGCGGTTCGCTCCCAATAACTATTCGTAACAAGGGATTGAACATAGACGGACAAGTTCGAGCACACGACACAGGACAATTATCCCAATCCCAATAACTTTTCGTAACAAGGGACGGGTCATCGACCAGCGCGTATTTCAATCCAAAACATATAGACTATTCAGTTACGAAATTATCTACCTCATGCGAGTCTATTTCTACGACTTCTCCCCTTTCGGTTCTGAAAGCCGCTAAGTCAATTAGAAGGTACTTCATCAACTAATCACATAGAATTGACAAACCCTAACTCGACAAATTAATATCCAACTGTCACCAATAGCAAGATCGAAAT